TGCCGGCTTCACACCCACTATTCCTCTCCTCTCTCGCCCTCTTCCTATCTATCTCTTCTTTCTTCTTCTTCTTCCCTATCCCCCTCCCCATTTATTAATGCTGCAAACTGTTTCTGTTTAATTTGGATTCAGCCACGGTGACCGGAGGAGCAGCATATCCCCCTTCATATTCTAATTTCCCTAATAATCGACTTAGACTAGCGAGCTAAGACGGTAATGTTAGTAGACTCGCCATTTTGGAGAGCAAAGTGTGTTGTACTAGGCTGTTCTGATGTGCTGCCGGATTGCACCTCCGGCTGTACTGCAACGTTGCAGTTGTTGATAATAATCAATGTCTTTAATGATACCCCTGTAGAAACTAAAGTAAAATATGTTGGGAATAAGTCTGCTATCTCACAATAGCCAAATAACTAAATATATGTCTAAACGAAACAGAATAATTTTGTTTTCCTTTTTATGCAATTAAATGGTCATGCAAGCCAACAATATCAATCAAGTAAAAAAATTATATGTAATAATAAAAACACAATCCACAAATAGAAGACACAAGATTTTAATTTGGAAAACCCTCCAAAATGAAAGGAAAAACCACAGGAAACTGGTCATTTAAAAGCTTCCACTAATAAATCAATGGGATACAACAAAGTTCTTCTCTATCAGTAAATCTAGAGGCTATCAGTATCAACTATTCACCCAAATGTGTATTTCATCACATATATCACCAAATAATTCAAAGAAAAAAATAAATTTCTCCAAAATGATAATAGAGAAGAGGAATAGCAAATCAAACCAATAGATATGCAGCTTGAGACGCCATCGAGTGTAAATAGAAGACACAAGATTTTTACTTAAGATTGCATTTGGAAACGATGCAAATAGAATGTAAATTCTGGTTAGGGTAAATTTGCACTTTGATTTATTTTTGTCTGTACTTGGCAACATTACATTTTTGCATTGACAAATGATAGACCAATGTATATTTACATTGATAATAAGATGTAAAAGTACATCAATAAAAAAAAACGCAGTTTAAGGTAAATTTGATAAAAAAAAAAAGCATATACATTATTGGAATGCGTGTTTAAGGTAAATTTGTCAATGCAAAATTAATCAAACTTTACAATTTATATGAACCATTTTACACTCTATATACTTGCATCATTTCCAAACGCAGTTTAAGATTGCTTTTGTTTTTTATACAAACATCGAACTGGAGTTTTTATGTACCCTGGTTCACATTTGTTAGCGCATTTGTTTTCCATACAAAAAGTGTAATGATTAAGACATCTTTGTATCGTGAGTGAGAAGAAGAATACATTATTGTACTCATTTATGGGATACAAACTTGTGATTTTCTGATGAATGGCATGTTTGACAAAAAATTTAAGACATTTAATGATGGGGCCCATGTTTTGCACCGTTTCAAACAAACAGGAAGAATACAAAAAACGGATTACACTTTGAATTCATGAACCGAAAAGAGAGTATTTATGCCTTATGTTTTGTTTTATTTTGTATGTAATTTCACTGATCACCTACCACTTTCTATCTCCATTTGTTGCCATGGATTTGTCAAGAGAATATAAACCAGAATATCTCAAAATAAAGAGAGATGTCAGCCCCGTCAAATGAGAAATGTCAGCTGTTTTAATAATTAAAGCACCTTGCCTCCAACGAGTCTGCAAACCATTGGTCTCGAGTGGTTGGAGACTCCAACCAAACATACCGATTCGTCGATCCCCGATTCACCCGACAGGATAACTCCGGGTGACTCGTTGATAAAATTTCACTGCTATTATTCCTTCTTCAAAGATTCTGAAGAGTGACATATTTTCTTTACCTATGGTTAGTGTGCTCAATGGGAAAAAGGTATTTTTGCTGAAGCAAATATAGACTCATAGGTGATCTAGTGTTTATTGCATATATTGGATGATTGTGTATTTCTCCAACTTTGTATGGTATTTATATGTGTTCTTTTGTTGAGTATGTGTGTATATATACAACAAAAAAACATAGGTACTCTTTAGTTATAGGTTTTTTACATTAAATTTTAATGGCTGTTATCAACATGGCATGAGACTTTCGACTTAGGAAGCCTCAAATCCCAAAGCAATGAAATAGTGATCCGATTTATTTGAAGAACAACATCGTGTAAAATATTTTACCTCTTTAGCTTCTAAGGTTGTGGGATCGAGAACAACTTCTTGAGGAAGTAAAATCCAAAGCCAATAGGGTGTCCAACAAGCAAACTWCAGAACCAAGTGGCTTTGGATTTCACTTTTCAAGAAACTGATTCGAATTTTCTCAACCTTACACCTTGTTAGTTCTTAACATCATTGAAAGTTGAAAGATCAACTTGCTTTAAAATGGATGGCATAAATTTATTTTAAAACATCAATGACCAATTCTTTTATGACTTTCTTCCCAAATACGTTCTGAAGTAGRATTATTCAAAATCTAGTGGAGAATTGTTTAAACGAAAAGTTGTACTTTCATAATTCCGAGCTCAACGCTGTGCATATGCTATTTCTATGCATGATTTGCAGGAAGATTCCAAGTTGCATAAAGTTTTAAAGGTAAAGGTGCATATGTCTCATAGGTCAATCAGTTTATAATTTAAAGAGTGGAGCACATTTTCCTTTTTATATGTGGATTTGTATGAACATTGAGTGATTCAAATCATCATCAGTAGTTAAGTTGTACTAAAAATGCTTGGTCAATCACAATATGAGTCTCACAGGCTGACATGGTGTGACATGATTCGCCCAATATCTCTTCTGGTTCCCCAATTCGGAGTCATTATGTGGGATGGAGATAAGCTCTTTCCAAATCAAAGTAGCCCTAGAAGTAAGGGTTTAGGGCCTTTTCCAACAAACTAAGTGGCCCGTCCCGTGCATGTACAATCGTTGTTGAGAGTGCAACTAGGGCGGCTTTTATCAAAACAACTGAATGCACGCGACTCAATAGGCCCGAATAACATGTTGACTCAGGCCAACTTGGGAACCCGTCAATGGGGATTCCTTTCAGAATCTGGATCACATGGTGGATAGCTGGGGACCATAATAAGGCCTAGCTATTCACCATATGATCCCATCCAACTATTTTAAAAATCTCTTCTTGCGAGGAGTACAGTTCATCCAAACAATATATATATATATATATATATATATATATCACCCTCATTATTATTATTGACTTTATCTCTTCTATAATGCTGTTGTATGGTCCAGTGCACATTGCATTGGTTTTTAATAACATGGGTAAACGGGTCGGGTGTATCTGTTTGATCCAAAAAATTTTGGATTTGGATTTTACTGACAGTTTGATCCATATCCATTTGATCCTAAGCCTCAGTTTGGTAGGAGTATAAGTACAAATACCTACTGTGTAAACGCATACAAAATACTACAAATTACAAGTTTTTACACTCTATAAATTTGTATTTATACTGCTTCTAAGGTCCAATTTGGAAGGAATACAAATACAAATATATAAAAATGGCTTTGGCTACTGAGTTTTTATGGGGCGCTGTCAACAATGGGAACAAAATGTGGTTAGAGAAATACTCTACCGGCCCGAACCCGATCTTGCAATTAGCAAAACCGAACCGCTAGGCATGAAGATTGAAGGGGGACCGGATCAACAGTTGGCTGGCA